GGGCACGAAAGCTTAGGGAGGCGGGTTTACTGAGCATGACCTACTCACCCACTGCCTGTTTCCCTCCAGAGGTCCAGAGAACATCTTTTCCCTGAGGCTTGGAGAAACGCAAAGACTCTGCTGCAGCCGTTTTCTGCAGGTAGCAATGGCCCCAGTCCAACGGGGAACAAACCTCAGAAAGGCAGGGGCCGAAGGCAGGTCTTGACCAGCCAGGACAAGGTGGGTGTGGGGCCCCAGTGGGTGGCGGGGCTACCCAAGCAGGGCGTGGCCCACAGATCTTTGAGGACACTTGTGAATCTCGACGTTCCTGGGACTCAGACGGACAGACAACCAGCTCAAACCTCAACTGATTCGTATAATAAAAGAGACAAAAGCAAAAAACAAACAAACAAGCAAAAAGAGATTAAAAACAATGCAAAACAACCTCCAAGTCTGATAAATAGAGCTTCACCTTGGATAACGGCCTCTTAACCAATACCCGGCTTGACCCAGTTCAGAGGCCCAAAGCCCCTCGCGTGAAGGGGAGGCTGCGTCCCCCTGAGTAGACGTTGCTACATGACCAGAAATTTATACCACACAGTTCCCTCCTGGTCTTCCCAAGAGGGACCATTCGGGGCCATTTACCAGGGTGGCTATGCACCGTGGAAGGACATAACCAGGCCTCTTGGTGGTTTCTAGACAGTGGCTCAGAATTGACACCGATTCCTAGAAACCAGCACGCACGGTGGTGCCAGTTGGGGCAGAAACGCGTGGAGGCAGACGGAGTGGAGTCGGGGCTGTGCCTGCTCTCCTTACCTCAGCCTCGTGCTTCCCTGAATGCACGCTGCACTCATTCCCTCTGTTCTGGCTGCAGGCCCTGCGAAGACTCTGGGGTGGGGGGACGGCGGGAGAGACCCAGTGGGGGAATGAGAACTGCCTCTTACCACCAAGGGGCTGCCTGTCCCAAAGTCCTGGTGTAGTTGGAGGGACTGCAGAGACAGCCACAACCCAGATCTTGAGGGATGCAGGCTTGTGATGGAAGGCACATGACCTGTGCGGAAGGCAGCTAGAACCTGCAGGACGACAGTGAATGGCCACAAACCCAAGAAGGCGGTGACTCCTAATGCAGCTGACATTCCAATGTAGTTTCTTTACTAGAAATATCAGCACATCCCTTGTTACCAATAGGCACTAACACTCTGGGAGCACATTTTTCTCTACACCGGTCCACAAAGACCACCGTCCCAGATGCTTCAGCTGGAAGGAACAGCCCCATTGTGTCACCTGAGGGCCGTAGAGCTCCCCCGCCTTCGTTATAACTGGTCGGCCTGTGACTGCCCCCGGGCACACTGCGCTCCTCGCTCAATGATTTGGTATGCTGAGTGACTGGTCTTGATCCCATGGGCACAGTGGCTGCTGCCACACATGGGGGCTGGGGAGGAGGCCCGGAATCCAGGAGGGCCTCTGGCTTTCGGACTCTCCTGTCTTGTGGCTGAAGAAAAGTTACAGCAACCCAAACTGGGAGGGACTTGTATTGAGATCAGGTCTTTGAGAAGTAATCAACCTAAAATGAGGCACTGGGGGGCCCCTGATCCAATCTGACTGGTGTCCTTATAGGAAGAGGAGATCAGGACACAGACACACACGGAGGGATGACCATGTGAGGACACAGGAAGAGGATGGTGTCTACACGCCAAGGAGGGAGGCTCAGGAGGAGCCAGCCCTGCCGGGACCTTGATCTCAGACGTCCACCCCCCAGGATGGGGATAACATAACTGTCTATTGTTTTAAGCGTCCTGGTCTGTGGTACTTTGTTATGGCCCTGGAGAGACTAATACAGAGGACTTATGGTGGGACCCCTGTGTCCCCACCGCAGAGAGGTGCAGGGCCCTGATTGTCAGCAGTGCCAAGGCTGAGACAGCCTGGTGCAAACGCACTGACTGGTTGAAATGTGGAGTCCGCAGATGCTCACGTTAAGAACTGGTGAGGCATTTTGAGGAAAGATATTTCATTTTACATGGGATTTGTCCTAGAATTCCACTAAAATAGTCCGCTCCCTTGGTCATTTCACAGGATTCCATTTGGGAGCCTCTGTTTGCACACGTGTCTCCTCTGTTGCTCCTGCTTAAAACAATAAGCCCAGAACAAAATGGGGCAAAGACTCTGCCCTTCACGGGATGACGACAGCTTTAATTACTGGATATCAACTCAGGCCGTAACCGTAGGCACTTAGATTGTGCTTTACGTGCTTCGTCAGAATCCCTTGCTCTGTGACATTATGACGGGGTCACTGGAGCCGTTCTGGGACAGAGACCCACCAGCAAGGCTCAGAGGCTTGCTCCACGGATCATGCCTAGGATGGGGCCCCCAGGGTCCCAGCTACGTGCCCGCATTTGATGTCTTAACCACGGTGGTCTCTAGGGAAGCCCCACTCTCCGTCCTGCTGACCCCAAATCCACAAAGCTGTCTGTCTGAGTAGCCAGCAGAGCAGGAAGTCTTGGCCGCGGTGTGAGCTGTCTTGCCCTTGGGCCGTCAGCCCAGCAGATCCCAAGAAACCCCGTGTATCTGGGGAAAAAAGAGGTGCTATATGCAGCCTGGGCAAACACTCGCTGGAGGGTTGCAGCATGTACCCTTAGGACTGGGGCAAATCCATGCCATCCTCGCAGAAGTCAGACCCCTTTGAGGAAATGGCCCTTGGCTTCTGGTTCCTGATAGAGACATACTGACCGCTTGACCTCGAGACATCAGGTGACCGTGTCACAGAAGCTGCCCATGGCAAACCCACCATGCCACGAGCCCAGGTGAGTGGGCTGCATCCTAAAATCAAGTTCAGCGGTGTGTGGGAGACAGAGTGTGGGCAGGCTGGGAGGTGTGGGCAGGCAGGGAGGTGTGGACAGGCCTGGGAAGTTTTGGGTAAGTGACATGACAGGTGCCTGGGACCCCGTTGGCACCTCCTCTGTGCCATTGCCTCCCCACACCCAGGAGACACCCCAAAACCACCGCCGAGCAGCCTGTGTGACTATCCCATTCTCTGACTGCTCGTGCCCAGGCCGAGGGTCTGCTCCGCACGCGGGTGCGAGACAGTTCTCTGAAATGGTGGGATCCGCCTCGGGGACAGGACTCTCTGCAGGTGGAAGGCACCTGCTCTCTTGGGAAAGGGGCCTGTGAAAGCAGCCTTCATGCTTCTTTGTGTTCACGGCTCTGGTGTTGGCAGGTGGGGGACAGTCAACCCGCGACTTCCAGATCCCTTCTTCCCATCACTCCGTATGGGTCTGAACCATACGGTTCAGCGAGAAGCGGCATCAGTGAAGTCCAGTCCTTCCTGGTTCCTCTCTCCGCTGATGTTCCTATAGAAGGGGCACCACCAAGACAACAGCGGAGAGAAGCTGAGAGGGCTGCCGGAGGGTGTGGGCGCCATGGGAGCCGCCCTGCTGAACAGCTCAGAGCTGGTGGTGACTCGGTTCTCCCGGAGTGGGGTGCGGGCACGCTGACCTGATCCTTTTCCAAGCAGGGTGAGCAGTGTGGCTGGGTGTGCTTTCAGGAAACAATAGGGAGAGGAGGGGCTGGATTAGCAGAGAGTCTTATTTCTAAACTAGTCCAGGCTGAGAGTAATCCACACAATTCCTGGACACTTGCTCTCTGGAGATCTGCAAGATGGCAAACAGGTCACAGTTCTGTGTCTGCAGTCACAGCCACCTGACTAGAGACAGCCCGGCATTGGTGGTCCCTCTGCTCATCTTGCTCAGGGGTGTCCGGTGGACGGGCATTGCCTCACCAGGGACGACCAGACAGCAAATGCACAGATCCAGGGTCCTCCCCGCCGGGGCCAGGTGCACACACACGCCACTTCTGGCTTTTCAGTTATTCAAACCAAGCCCAGAGGAGCTGCAAACTGCATCTGGCCCAAAGACAATGGGATGACGTGGGGAAGGAAGCAGTGGTCACGTTGTCCAGTCATGACCGTGGGGACAAGACATGGGTGCCTGTGACCCGTGGACACAAGAAGAGGTCACTTGGAAGCCCCCTGGTCAGGGTCGGCGGCCCCCCAGCCTCTGTCTCCGGGCACATCTCCATCCCACCCAGGGCACAGCAGAGATCAGAGGTCACAGGACTCAGGGTGGCATTTATCAAGACCAAAGAAGTCTCAGAGCGAGAAACAAAAGGTTCTAAATAAAAGAAGCAATGCTGGCATTGAGGTCCTTAGCAACCACTGCTTCCGATGGAAGAACCGAGTGTGTGCTGCGGGGTTTGCACTTGGGCTCAGAACAGAAAACAGCAGTGAAATCCTTCCTCCGAGGCAGGTCCCCAGGACGCACGCAGAGCCCCACCCCGGGTGAGCCCTTTCTGGCCATCTGGGATTCCCCCGCCCTGGGCCGTGCTCTCCCGGACCTCAGGCCAAGCATGGAGCTGGTCTGTGCAATGCCCCTGGTCTGGGGGCAGGGGGCTCATCAAAAAGGCAGCCCCCCTTTCTCGCTTCACCCATGGTGACAGCTCATCAGCTCTGCAAAGGACAGGCGCCTCGGGTCATCCTGCAAAAGTCAAATTGTCCTTTGACCTTGCCCACATCACCTCCTCATTACTCCTTTGTGTCACGAAAAAATGGCGCATAAATCGCCTTCCCTCCTGCTCCTGCTGTTGTGCCGTGTTCCTCCTGGCTCCGAGCTGTGGGGGAAGGACCCACACGGCTCGAGTGGTGACAAATGTCCAACAGTAAACGCACGTGAGCCCCGTGTCTTCAGCAACTGCCATTCCCTCCCTTCTTTCAGATTGTTCTCCGATTGTTGCTATAGACACTCCTACAGGAAATTTGGAAAACACAGAGGAGTTTAAGAGAAAATAAAAATCATGTGTGAAGCCCTCACTCGGAGCATAATCTTGATTAATTTTTTCCGACGTTACACACATCTGTGCAATTACTTCTCCCATGGCATCCACGTGCCTTTTTCAAGAAAATTGACTCTAGGAAAGGAGCTGGTGATGGGCGGTTTTCTGGGAGCACGGCACTCCGATGCCTTTTGGAGCTCTGGGTGAGGACTGCCGTGGATCTTCCCAGAGTCTGGCTAAAGATGGTGGAGCATTCCATGGAGGCCGTGGTCCCAGGACCTGGGTGGCTGAGCACCATGAGGGTCTCACTCTCCAGCCATCACAACGTCTTCAGGGCCAGGACCGTGTATGGCGCCCTTCAGTGCATGCGGCAGACTGTGTGGCACTGTGGTGGCGAGAGGCCAGGGTGGGGGCTGCTGGGCACGCAGGGGCCTTAGAGGCTAACTGCCCGAGTGAGCAACAAGGGAGTGGGCTCCTTCTGGCCAACCACGTGTCCTGTTTAGCCCTCGTGGTAAAACCTTTAAATCAGTTACCAAACCAGCTGAGGCAGGACCAGGAGTGGGCGTCAAAGGGACTCTCCACATACCCCACAGAGCTTACTGGCAACTAGGTCCAGGAACTAAGCCACCGCCAGAATTGTCTCCCCAGGTCTCGAGGTGGGGCAGACACACCCCAGCTCCCCAGGCAGGGCCCTGGCCTAAGTGCCAGTGACCCTCAGTGTCCATGACGTGGCAGGGTCACCCTGCTTGCTGCTGTGTCTGTGAATTCTCATCTGGCTTCCTTAGCAGGATAACAGGCTCCCTGAGGGCAGGGCCGCCCCGTCTTGCTCACAGCCCCTCACCGTCCAGCTCGGAATATGCACACCTGGGAGCTCAGCCAGTGTTTGTGGACTGAGCAGGCCTTCGTGAAATGGGGTCGTGGTTCCACACCCCTGGGCCCCCGTCACAGCCCTCCGTCTGGAACATGAGCCACCTGATAGGGACATCTGGACCTGTCTCCCCACCGGGGCAGGCTCTCGGGCGTGCACACTGGATGCCTGCAGAGTGGTGAGGATGCTGTGGAGAGAGAGGAGGGAGAGGGGGGTGAGGCGAGTGGGAGAGCAGAGGAGAGTGGAGGAAGGGAGCGGGCAGAGCGTGGCTGATTCAGGTGGTGGGTCCACGCCCAGGAGCCGTCCCCGCCACGTCCTCTGGCACCCGGGCTGTGCAGGCAGTAAGGCCCCCTGGTAGTCAGCTGGAGGCCAAGGTCATGCCTTTGTGCAGAAGAACCAGCCTTCAGTTCTGCTCCTACCGCCTCCTGGCCCAGGCCTCGGGCCCACTCTGCATGCCCCAGACCCCCTTTCCCATGTAAATCCCTATCAAACACACAAAGCCAGCGTCCTGAGCTGTAGGGCTCTGTGAGAGGGTGTCTGTGCAGCCCGGAGCCCCAAACGGTAGCAAGTACAGCTGGGGTTCCCACCTCACAGCTTTCTCGGAGCCAGGGCGGATCTGAGGGCGCTGAGAGCACACTGGCCGCCGACTGTTGGCAGGAAACGTGCCTGGCTTGGGACGCCCCAAAAGCCAAGCCTGACTCAGAGGCGTGGGTTTCCTTGGGACGTGACCTCAGGGACAAGAGAGGCCAAAGAGCCAGTATGGGGACTGGTAAGCCACTTGACCATGACTGGTACAAACTGGTTTTTGATGTCTCATGACCAGAGAAGCCACATGAAATGCATTTCAGAGACAGCTACCGCGAGGAAGAAGGGGAAGAATCAGTTCCTAGGCCCCTGCCCCACACTGGTCAGGGGTCACCAGAGCATGGCAGTGGCCACCGTGGTGGTCTCCCTCTGGGGCCCAGCTGCTGGGGGCACCACTGGCTGGTGGACCTCAGGTGTCCACTCTGCTTGGAAACATTCTTGGCTGGACGGAGCTGCTTCACCAAGTGGTGCTCTCTTCCTGGACGCAGCCTGGTCTATGTGGAGGGATGGATCCTGGTCCCCATCTCCAAGCAGGACAACGCCGAGGGGCCAGCTGGCCTCTGAGCTGCCACAGCAGCAGCAATGCATCTGCGGAGACCACACAGCAGCTGACTTCCCTCTCTGCCCCTGCATTTTCTCCCCTCTCATTGGGTGTGGAACCCGAGCAGACTCTCACACGTCTGCTTACTAACCAGCCTCAGAGTCTGCCCCCAGGGAGCCCAGTCTGTGACTGATGGTGCTCAGAGTGATCTAGGAGGTCAAGCAGTAAGACAGGATTCTGATGCTGGATTGGCTGCCTCCCTGGGTCAAGGCCTGGGCACGAGGTCACAGGGCAGTCACGGAAAGTTACCAGTGATAGGCTGGGATGGTCTACCTGCAGAAGGACCTGCCCCGCTAGAGCCATGTGTCGGGCATTTGAGAGAGATGAGGGAGCCCTAACTCTGCTGACCCCTGAACTGGGCAGCCGCTGCTAGGTGCAAATGATGCTTGAGAAACAGGTAATGAATGGTTGATCTGTCTTGTGCTGCGGACAACACCCAACCTGTGAAAACAGAGACCAATGTTGATGTGGCACCATCCCTTGAGAGGACTGCTGTCCAGGGACACGTTGACTATGTTGGACCTTCCCCCATGCATTGTGACACGTGTCTGCCCTTGTTGGGCTGTGGATGCCGCCATTGGCCTCTCTGTTCTCATCCAGGCTGAAGCAATAAGCGATGCCCTGGAGTGTCCTCTGGGTTCCTGCTGCCCCATCGAGGGCAGCAACCCTAGCCCCCATGACGATCAGATTCAACTACCTGCCCCTCATCCAACAACTCCTTCTCTTGTTGCTCCACTGTCCCGAGGAGCCCCAAGTGATAAGAGGGTGATCGCACCTTAATTCAGTGGAGATTCACGGTGTCTCCTCAACCTTGGTACCTCCACAGCTGTCCACTGCCACCGGCCACATCCAGCCGGTTGTTGCAAAGGTCAAACAGTTCAGTTCATAGGCAGGCAATGGGACCAAACCACTCTGAGCTCTTCAAGACACTGACATGGCCCTAAATGTGCCGGTCCTGTTGGAGACAGCATTGGTCCTGATTTACCACCTTGACCAGTAGGGGTACGTTCAGGGACTTCCACTAGGACTTGCTGCCGGGATAACCCAGGGCACAGGCGGGGATTGAACGCTAGGGCCATGGAGAACCATCATCAATATGCACTCAGGCATTCAGGGTGGTCTGTGGACACACTGGATGCACTGTGGGGTGGACTGGAGCTCAGCTATACCCTCTGCCTGGCTCCCTGTGCCTCCTCCGTAGTGAAGCACCCATCGTGGTACTCTGCTTCTCAAAGGGCATTAAGAGCTCAAGTGGCATTCCTGACCTCCACAGCCTGTCTTCAGGAGTGAGGTGGCTGACCTGCCCCTGTCATTTGCTGTCCTGGAGGCTCCCACAGTGGTCAACAGAGCAATCCACTCTACACGTTCAGTCTTCACGGGCCAACGTTCTAAGAGCCGTGGCGCCACACATCCAGTACCTCCACGTCAACACAGGGAGCTGAGGGTCCATGTGGTCCAGCCCAACACCAAGGGCCCCACACTCAGTCGGTCACTGCACACCAATGTCACCCACACTCACCCCAGCAGAGGGTCCTCGCCAGTGTTTGTAAACAGAGTCCTGACAGCACACGGACCCCAGTGACCTCTGCCCCTCACCGTCTCCCACAGGCTCTGGATTCTTCTGTTGACCCGGGACCCCTGTACCAGGTCCATCAGAAAAGCACTGGCTGTCTGTCCGTCTGCCCTGGCTATTTAAAGGTCTCTAATTTGTATGGGGGAAGCAGAGGTTGATTTTCTTTCGCTGTGAATATTGTCTTGTTAGCAGAAGCTAATTCTGTTTCTTACTTAACAAACGAAGCCAAAGTTCACATTCTAACCTGAACACCAGATTCTGCTCCTCCTCCTGTCCCAGCGAAGGACCTGCGTGGTGTTGGGGTCTGCAGACCCTCACAGGGACATGGGTGGTTGGAGACGCCTGTGCTGCAATTTCAGGCTGAAAGATCCCCAAATCCTGGGGGTGCTGCCCGTTGGAATGCACTTTTCGGACAGGCAGACAGGACCAACTGCTGATGGACGAGGAGACCCCGTCCCGACCACAGTGGATGCTAAGGACAGACGCATCTTTATAACGTTCGAGATGGCATGGTAAATTCCACTCAGGGAAGCTGGGTTCAAACCGGGAAGATCAAGGCCACACGGGGGAGGGAGGTACGGTTCTTAGCAGGTCCCAGGTCGTTTCGCAGAAAGAATAAAACCCCCCCACCCTCCCAGGGCTCAGGACGAATCCTGGTCAGCGCTGGCTGCCCCGAGGCAAACCCTCAGAGACCTCTGGGGCCCCAGGTCTGAGGGGTCTGAGGGTTTGCCTCAGATTGTTGTCTTAGAGGGTCTAGACCCTTCCCTCCGGCTGGGGTCCCAGGCCCCAGTCCTGCCCTTCACAGGGCCCTGGACACTGCTGTCCCGAGCCCTCCCTTCCCCACAGTGACAGCCGCGGTGCAGAGGAGGAAGGCATCAGGCCAGCAGGGCCGGGGGAACCTGCCCTGGGCTGTGAGCCTGCGAGCCCACCAGTGTCGGCAACCTCCTTGTCCCTGGGCCGACCCTGGGGCCCTGGGGCTGTGCCGGACATCCCCCAGCTGAGATCGTGTCTCCAGGTGCCTTTCCCACCCTGTCCCCGGCAGGAGCATGTGCAGTCTCCCCCATATCAACCCCTGACGGCACACGTGGAAGCGTCCCCTCTGACTTTTACAGCTCATGTGTCCTGCCTGGCACTGTGCCCTTCTCCGTGGATGAGGGGTCGCTGAGCTGCAAGGAGTGGTGTCCACGTTGAGCCCTGCTCCCTGCACCCCCAGGACGAGACCCCAGCAGACCAGGAGGGCCTGAGGACCCTGGTGTGTCCTCTCAGTCTTAGTCTGGAGGAGCAGGGAGTAAGGACCTGGGTGCTGACGTGTTAATCCTTTACGGAATCACGCCGATTGTGAGTAAAACTCTGAGCTTCTCTTTGCTGGAAATGTCACGTGGAAGCCAGACTTCTGTGGTTGAACATTTCAGCTCGAGGACTATTGTCGGAATTCCAGCATAACAGTAGACCCTTAGAACAAACACAGGGGGCACAGCTGTTGTAATTTGTCTTTTTTTCCCTCTCTGAGTAAGAAACCTTGCTACCCAATGAACTGTTTCCATGATTCTTTTTATGTAACAAGGAAGTAAACTACCTTCA